GCGTGTATGGCGTTGTTTCCAAAAGACACACGAATGACGAATTTTATATTTCAACTTTGAGGTATATATGTGGTGAAAGGGTGGGCTTTGTAGTGAGTCATATGCACTCTATCATATGGAAGCGGAAGTGAAATCAAAGGCAGATTTTAGATACCCGAGACGAGTAACATTTCCATTCATTCATCTGTTTGCATACAACTTGCTCGTTTCCTCACTTCCTACTTGCTTCCTGTCAACCAGGTGTTCTGCTTCTTCACCAAAATCTCAAAACATCCCTCCACGACCTCGTCCTTCTTAACCTTCCACTCCGTCCACTACCTCTATCCCACTCAGTATCCTCCCTCCTCCTCTCCCTTCTCCTCCCCCTATCGTCATCTCTGTCACGATCAAGACTACTACTCCTATAATACAAAACATCACCACCCCCACTTCTGCTTTGATATTCGGTTTCACGCTCAGGCTCATAATCACTCTCGTACCTCCGAACCTCCCTGCCTGATCCAGCATGCCGGTATACATAGCGTCTTACTGTTTCTCCGGAGGCGGAGGAGGGGGTTTCGCGGTAGGAGAGGGTGTCGAATGTTGGGCCGTAGGTGTGGCTGGGTGTGTGTTAGTTGATGGTGGAAGGAAAGGGGCGGGGGCTTACGCTGAGGTATCATAGCGGTGGGAGTCTGGTGTTTGGGTTTGGGTGTATGGGGGTGTGGAAGATGGTCTGTGAGTGCGACTGCGACTGTGGCTGTGGCTGTAGTAGGTGTAGCTATCTGGGAGGCGGGACATTTTGGCTGCCTGTATTACTGATAATGTTTGGGAAATAGGGTGTTTGGTAAACAGGTTGTATGGGGCTTTGAAGATGGAGATGAAGATGTGGGGTTGTGGAGAAAATGGTGAGGAAGAGGAGAGGAGGAGGGAGATGGGGTGGGGAGATGCAGATGTAGATGTAGGAGGTGACAAGGCTGTGCATGCAGGATGACGTGTAATGCGTATGAGTATACTGAGTTCGTTGTTCAAGATGAGTAAGTGTCCAGGTGAGGTTGTGTGATGGCTCGATACATGGCGTGCCAGCAGTAAACCAAACCCTATGGTTAGAGTAGGTGTGTTTGTACCAACGGCGACGAAGTGCTGTACGCATGGATATCGTAGCGCCACTATATTTACGTAGCAACACAACAGACAGAGCTAGACAAGTATTTTTTTATATCTTTTTAAACTATCATTCTTCATATTTGATCGCTAAATCCACACTTATGCATCCTCCATCGGTCGGGGTATCTGACTAAAAACTCGTAATACAAGGAAAGACATAAAACATCATTCTGACATGCCATCGTCGTCGCTGAAACGGAACAAAACAAGACAAAGGAAAGGAAAGAGTGGGAAAAACAACCACCACACTCCCCCCAACTCACCACACCCACACCCCCCCCCCCCCCCCCCCCAAAAAAAAAAGGGGCGCTTTATGCAATCTACCTCGTCCTTATTCGGTAGAACCACCCCGCCTAATCATAAGCATTCCTATGCTGCGCCATCTGCGCCTTCTCCCCATACCCCCTCCTCTTCTCCCTTGGCCTAACACAAAAGCCCACCACCCACGCAACAACAGCCACAAACATCAGCCCCGTGGCCGCCCACGTAATTGCCAAAAACTTGTTTCCGCGATCCGCCTCCAAGCCCACAGCATCGCCATGTTCATTAAGCACATCCGTTCCCTTTACCATAACCGCCGTCACAAGCGCACTTGCCAGGCCAATCGCCAAAAAGGCAAGGAGAGCGAGGAGGAAGTTTACACACGGCGTGAGTCGTGATGTTGTGGCTAGGAAAAAGGAGAGGGCGGATGCGACCAAGGTGAGGAAGATTAGACAGATGGCAAGCACGTAGAGGACGAACATGGCAGCCATGAGGGCGTTTAAAGCGTCGATGCCGTTTTGCAGGTCCTCTGGCCAGTTCAAGTCCGACAGCGTGACATCGACGCCCGATTTATCAAGAGCAGACTGAATAATCTGCGTAGGGTTGAATTTATACGTCGCCCGCGATTTCGAGCACTCGGTAACGTTTTTACTAATGTCGGATTCGGAGAGTGTGGCGTTTGCTTTTTCGCCCGGTGTGTATTGGCCCTCGCAGTAGTTGAGCAGGTGAGCGGAGTAGAAGTCTTGGATGCCGACACGCTCGCGGAATTTGTCGACTTGTTCGTTGATTTCGTTTGTTACGCCGTCGGTGATGGAGTCGGGGATTAGGTCCCAGAGGTTCTGGAGGGTGGACGAGGACGAGGAAGGTCTGGTGATGATGTTTTCGCCCACGGCCGACGTGTTGAGCGTGATTAGGGAATAGTCTTCCATGAAGCCCTTTTTGTGGCCGGCGAAGAGGCAGAGGAAGGAGAGGATGAGGGCTGCTGTGCAGCATAGCACTGGGAGGATGGCTAGGAACCGCATCGTTGTGGTTGTCGCAGAGTGTAGTGTATGAGGAATGTAGAGTGAACGAAGTTGCTCCAAACCTCAGCGTTGGAAAAAAAAAAGACAACAACGCGGAATGTGTCAAAGACAGACAAAGACCAGTCACTAGTGGAACATTCATTCACTTATAGAGGCGCGCAATAGTGCGACCGCATCGACCAAAGACGTGGACGTCACTTCCAAGGGTCCCAGCCATGGCGCAGCCACACGCGAGTAGCATATCTATAGTCAACGGCGCTTTAACCCCCAAAACAAGGGCTTTTGGGTGAAGAATCAAGGTTTTCACCACACCGACCACCGTGTTGACGTGTTGCTGGGCATTTGTTTTCTAGACCCTGAGCTGATGACGTAGGTGCAGCGCTAAGCGAAGCAGCCAAGCAGGGGGTGCAGGCAGGAACGTCGCAATGGTTGGGTGGGCGACGAGGGAAGATACGAGCAAGATGGTCTCAAGAGAGACCGAGAAGTAGATACGAAGGATTCAGAGTGGAACGGCATGCATTGGTATACGCAAGTGTGGCGCTTGCAACACGGCCACGTGGAGTGGGTGGGGTACACAGCCGCACCTGCGTATCTGGGACCACAGCAGCAATGGGTAGGGCTGAAGGCACTTTACAGATTACCATGGTTCTCTAAACAGTTTGTATTCGCATCTATCGATGTTCCTCATCTTCTATCCGTGAGGCTTCGTCTATCATAAGCGCCTTGGGTTGTACGCGAGCATGTGCTGTTGGGTTGTTGGGTGAATCGTTGTAGATGTCGGTGTATTGATAAAGAGTCATGGGATCGCCCAAGCTCGGTGCTACCCGGCCTTCAAGACGGTGACTTCTTCGGGTGCTTTGGAGGTTGTGTTGTTGCTGACGACGACCCCGCACTTATCCCATCTGTGAATGGCGAGTAAGGCGCCGTTACTGAGTGCGGCGGCGCTCGTTGGCCGGATTTTGTGCGCGGAGGCTCAGACGAGCCAGGCCATTTCTTTTGCTCTTCATGCATCTTGTCCAGTGACTCTCCGACAACGTGGTACTTGTCCCAGTTGATGGGCGGGCAGCGCACTATGTTTTGCGGCTGGGGGATGGCGGGGAACTTGGGCGGCTCTGGCTTTACTTCCTGGGTGGAGTCCTTGCGCGCATCAGCACTGCTTGGTCGTTCATCGTCAGTGCGTACTGGGTCGGTAAGACCTGCTAGTGTTGGAGTGAGGACGTCCTGGTACGACTGCGAGGCCTGGGCACGTTGCTCTTGCAGCGACCGCACAAAAGCTTCGGGGTTGGCTACGGCGACGGCCTTGAGCTCGTCCAGGGCTTTCAGGTCGCGCTTGCTCTTCTCGCGCTGCAGCTGCAGGATGGATATGGCGGAACGGAGGGCGATGGCATCTGGATTGTCGCTCTCAGAAATGGCTACAGCCGGGGGTTGCGGTCTGAAGGTGGCCGTAGGTGGAGGGGCAGGGCGGGGTCGGGGTTCAGTGCGCTCGACGGGAGCTAGCTGGGCAACAGTGGCCGTGGGCGTGAGAGGTGACACAGGCGGACGGTCTGGAGTAGGAGATTTGGAGCGGGTTCCTGAATGCGCAGAAGCGACCGAGGCGTCGCTGGACGAGGCTGGCCGTGCATTCGTATCGACCAAAAGCGCTGGCATGGCGGCGTGGGGAGAGTCAACTCCAGGCGCAAGGCCAGAGAGGGCTCGCAAGATGGCGATCGGCGACCGGCGACCAGCGACCAAGCTGCAGTGGGTGTGAGGTTAGGCCAGACGTCGACCTGAGGGGTCTCTGGTCTGATGGTAAATCTCCGGGCGTGTTCGCCGCGTGGTGGCGGCGATTAGGCGCTGTCTAGACTTGCGTCTCGCCCGTCCATACCAGATGTGATTTGGAACCAGTTTTGTCGCGGATGGTGTAATACAAGATTGCGCGTGCCAAAAGTCAGGCTGTTTACGCTTGGTTGAGGTTGTGCGGATGCCGGTGCCGGCGTGCGGAAGACAAATCCCTGTGGTTAAGAGTCGGCTCAACGGGAACTCGGAAGGAGGCAGTCGATCTCGTCTATCTCTTGCGACGCCATGCACACAGTTGCCGTTGCAAAGCTCGCCACCCCCTAGAGATGAAGGCTTTTGTCAATCGTCTGTATGGTCCATGGCTTGTAGTGTGCAGTATGCATCGTTGTGACCACGGTTACAGTCTGAACGAGAACCGTCTAGACCGTCCTCACATCCAGCTACACATGCGCATCATGTAATTCAAAAAGGTTCGGTCATGTGACGGCGCTGACTAACCCGCCAAACTCTAACTCTCACCTGCGGTTCATCACGACTGACAGATGACTAACTGCCGTACGTAGATGCATTGCGTGCCATGTCTCAGACCGAGCCTGCGCAACGCTTCGGTCCTTCCCTGTCCGCTCTGTCATGTCCATGCCCGTCTCCGCCGTCAACTGGTCGAGCAGAATGCCAACCGAAGTTATCAGAGGGTCACCGCTGCAGAGGTGGCCAGGGCCAAAAAGGCGGTATGGGCGTCAACACGGCGTCAGTGCGCTCATTTGAGGCAGCTGCCCACCTGCTACCGTTTCCAGGCTGAAATCCAAAGCCTGTCCACGCACTCACAAGTCCTGGCCTAGGGAACCTTTGTGTAGTTCAGACGGCTGCAAGGATCAGCGCGTGGGAAAAGCCACTCAAGATACTCTCACTCAGCCAGCCAGCACATGTCGGCCAATAGTGCTAGTCGGATACGCGGCGCTGCGTGGGCTTGCGTCGACACCCACAATCAGATTATCAAACATCACATCTCTATTTCCGTCGCTCAAACCCGTCGGTGCCCTGAGCCGTTGTTGCTCGTCTAAGCGATGATGGCTTCAATCGCACCTGCTGCTTGCAGAACCCCAGCTTGGACCGCATGTGCCCGTTACTCCATCGTCAACCAACGGCACTGCAACCATGGTCTAGTACTTCTTGATGCCATCCAAGTCTCGCACTCGTACTGCTCGACGTCCCCTACCCTCCATTCACATGCAATGCGTGACGCCCAGGCCACAGCCTGCCAATCAAGCGCAGATAGGCCTGACACAGACTGACCGCTAAACTCCAACCGGCCCACCTGGCCGAAATCACCATGGCCCCGAACGTAGACTTAACAGCGCAGCCCCCGCCTGCGCGCATGCCTAAGCTAAAGTACAGAAATCTGGTGCCGACCGACAGCAAAGCCTTCGTCTCACTACCAATTTCCCATCGTCTTGGGCCCCACTCTACATTCAGTCAAGAGCCGCCCACCACCACGGATACAAACGCTCAAACCTCGACTATCTTCCACCCGTCCTTCGACACTACCAGCCTGACGTCATCCAGTCTGGCTTCCATAACGCCAAGTCGTTCGTCTTCCAATGACTCAAAGTCATCGAAGAAGAAGAAAAAGTCTAGCTCCGTGCTCGGCTTCCTTTCCTTGAAGGAGCCATCCCAAGTCGCGTTGGAGCAATTTGCCGAGCAACAGCGCAAACAAAACGCCGCCGCCGGAAGGACTTCACCGCAATCAGGAATCTCCACAAACTTTGTCGGCCAGAAACTTCCTCCCACCGTTCCCAAGGTCAATTCGAAATGGGACGGCGTGCCTGAGGTCTTCAAACAAAACCGTAACATCACCTCCAGCGGACCCACAAAGGATAACCGAAATCTGTCGTCTAGAGGCTCACCGAGCTCGCCTCTCAAGGTCGCTCCGTGGAACGATTCAGGATTTTCTATATTAACTGACGGTACCCGCAACCCACCAAACTCCGTCGCTTCGGCTTCCATCTCGAACCTCAACAATCAATTTGGTTCTTCACTGTCAACCACTGATCTCCCGGACATTTCCTACCACGCTCCAGAAGCGCCGCTAGCGTCTAGTCCGATTCAAGAGACCGAGGACCAATCACCTATTCGTATCTCAGACTCAACTTCCAGCCATCGGCCAAGCATGGACGAAATGATAGACTCTAGGCCGCACTCGCCGGCCTCGTCCACCACATCGGCCGACACTGTTGTCATGGATACTGCCGACGCCATCTTCAGGAAGCTAAACGACCGTCCAATGCACGGAGAAAACACGTCGAATGTGCCGGAATCACACGACTTCCTGTTCCAGCCGCAGCCTGGTGTAGAGCGCCGCAACAGTGAACCACTTATGCGTTCTGAATCACCCTTTGCTCAATCATCCATCCCTCATTACTCCCCTTCAAAAAATATCCAAAACTTCAGTCGGCCCATGGGACCACCACCTGTTCAGCGATTTGCACCACCGTACAAGCGGACGCCATCAGTTCCAACACTGCCAACCCTGTACGAAGCCTCAATGGCTAGTACCGAAGACCTAGCCCAAGACTATGAAGACGACGACAACGATGATAACGAGGATTCCTATTCAATTGCGCCTTCCACCATTGCCCCATCTGAACTGTCCAAGCACTGGTACAAGTCTCCGCGCGAACGTCTCGGACTGGGTAGACGGCTGCAAATCAATGACGTTTTACCGTGGGATGAGCCAAAGGAGACGACAGGTAAGCCCAAGAAAAGTCGACTATCGATGTTTCAGCGGGTTGTAGCAAGAGGATAAGCTTTGCAGGCAAGGCTTGTTTGCATTCACTAACACCCAGTGGGTAGCTCCACCCTGAAATCCTCGACGATCTTCGGCCGGTGCGCCTCAGACACTCGGATCCTAGTCCCGGCGTCGAAAAATTGTGTACATACTTTCTGTGATTAGCGGCTTTCATTTGGCATTTTCCTTGTTTCAGCGAGCATCATGTACGGCAGCCTTTTCGGCATCGTTTTCGGCAGCGTCTTCTCGGGCGACCAGTTTCCTTTATATAGATACCCATTTACGAATCTTCTCATCTATTCCCTATTCCCACGTCTCACCAACACGCATTCATGCTCTCAGGTAAAAAAGAATAACGGTTGATTTCTATTTCTCATACATGTACGTTTCCAAGATTGCTATGGTATATATAGCCTATTCAGGGTTCAGGAAGGTTCACTCGTTCGTCGCACCCAAGCAAGTTTTCGAAGTTTCAGTTGTCAATCACACGGCATGTAATGTCCCTCACACGGCATCTAGCCCATGCAAGCGACGTCCTCCCGTCACACAACCTAGCCCGCCCTTGAAATGAAATTCGCTTGTACTTTTTTCATAGTTCCCGTCCCACCTTTTTCCCCACTGCACTACTACTTACTTACTTTAGCCGATCGACACCAGCCCGTCGCAAACTTACTTACGCTTTGACCCCCTCCCTTTCTGAACCAGCCAGCCATTTACGAGTCCGAAAGAGAAGGAATGGAACTAAGAATAAAACGGGTGACGGCACACACGCGGATTCATGAATCATGATTCGCTTAGACGGGTGGTTTGTACATACACGGTACATGGACGAAAATATGGCGCTAGGACTTTTTGGCTTGGTGTTTTACTTAGTTCGAACTATACACAGGGCCGGGGATTTTGTTTTTGAGTTCCGCCGACACGTGGGTGTGGAGGTGGAGGGGTGATGAAAGGGTCAAGGTTCGGGGCGGGAGGTTGTTAGGGAGGTGTGTGTGTGTGTGTGTGTGTGTGTAGAGAAGGGGTTGGATTTGGATTTGTGAGTGGTTGGTCTGTCTGGTGATGGGAGGTGGTGTCGTGACATGTTGGATTTGAGTTTGGGTTTGTGATGGAAGGGTGGGGTTAGATTGGACGGGTGGTAGGTAGTGGGCGGTTACAGCGGTTACAGCGGCAGAAACACTAATGGCGTGTGTGAGGGACGTGCAACGGAGGTGTGGTTCAGTGGACTGGCTGGCTGGCTGGCTGAATGGGAACGTGTTGGGAGTTTGGGGAAAATGGTGTGAACGACTGGCTCTAATCCCTCACTCACATCTCAGGACCTTTTAGGCCATCACATGACTCATTTTTGGGTGAACTTTTTTTTAGAAAAATTCAGGAAGCGCGCTGCAGCAGGTCATGAAAGTAGTAGCTACGTTTTAGAAATACAGAAGCGCACGTGACAATAAATTTACATCCATCGCAGTCATCCCACTCAGGACATCAGGTTTCTCGCTGCTTTTTTTTGAATCACATCTATGTAGCTTTTTAACACAGTTTAGAAAACAACTCCTCTCTCTCTTCTCCCACACACTCCCCCTCTTTAACAGACTTTTTATCTCGCAAGGACATGGAAACTTGTTTAGATGTTATGAAGAATCTAAATTACATCTTTTTAGCTATTTAATATAGCTTAGGAAAACACCCTTCTCTCTTCTCTCTTCTCCCACATCCATCAATTCCTCTATCGTTCTATTCCGCGAGGACATGGAACCTTCCGACGCTTGTTTTGAGGAATTTGAATTATATCTTTTTAGCTTTTTAACATAGTTTGGAAAACACCACCCTCTCTCTTCTCCTACATATTCTTCCTCTTCTAGTCACTTTTTGTTTTGCAAGGACATTCAATGTTAAAGTCTTGATTTTGGACTTTCTAGGCTTTTTAGAAGGGCGGGGGAAGAGGAGGGAAGAGGACATGCCGAGCTTATCGACAAATTTTAGTGTTTTGGAAATCGGAAAATTTAAGAGTAGAGTGCAGAGTATAAAGTGTAAGAAACCCTTCCGTCACCTCCCCCATACATCCTCCCATCCCCCTATCGTTTTATTTCGCAAGGGCATTGAAACATAAAGGCTTGGTTTTTGGACTTTCTAGGCTCATTAGAAGGGCGGGGGAAGAGGAGAGAATAGGACATAAAAGGTTCTGCGGTGACTTTTGATATTTAGAAGTTTAGAATTTTAGAGTTTTCATAGTAGAGTGTAGAGTGTAAGAAACCACACACACTCTCTTTCTCTCTCTTCTCCCACACATTGTCCCTTTCCACTACTGTTTTATTTTGCAAGGACATACAAAAATGACAGTATCATTTTAGAATTTTTAGAAGGGTAGAAGCAGGAGGGAACAGGACATTCTCAGCTCTGGAGTAAATTTTAATGTTTTGGAATTTTAGAATTTTGAGAGTGGGATGTAGGAAGGAAGAAGAAGGAAGAGAAGGAGATGGGGAGGGGGGCTTATATACACGCCCCCCCTCCCGCTTTACGCGCATACGTGTCACGTGTCACGTGTCACGTATCAAAAAGGCATATGCTAGAGCTATGTTGATTGTCTACCCACCTTACCTCCCTCCCGCTCTTATCCGTACTAGCGTAAACAAAGAGTACAAAAACATCTTCGCAGAGTTATCTCCCCTTGTCTTCCCTTCCCTATCACACTCCTACTCTACTCTAATAGTTCAAACTTCCAAAACCATATAGCTATGGTGCTATGCGTTTCTTCTTCTCCCTTCTCTTTTTTTTCAAAACGACCAACAGATCCATGTATGTGTTTTTGAGAGGGTTGCGAAATACCTAGGTAAAGAAGTATGAGGGAAATTTGCGACTGTTTGGGATGGAGGAACGAATGGGTAGAGGGGGTAGTTATAGAAAATTAAAACGACATAACACGCAAAACATGTGTGTTCGTGGTAGGGGTAGAAGGTTTAGGTACAGAAAACCAAAAGAACACAACACACTATACATGTGGTTTCTTGAAGGTACGTTCTTGGAAATTGTTTTGAAGGACATTTCAGGGAGTAGTACAGGATACGGGAAAGGCAGGGCTGGACATACAGGCTAACTACGGTGATTTTTCAGAGGGTTGGTAGAGGGATGGTCATACATGCATACCTACTTGTCAAGCGTCAAGGTTGGGGAGAATCATGTCGTATTAGAACTGTTGGAAAGAGGTCTATATGCGCAGTGGGAAGATGGAGTGAAGGAGCTAGGCCGTAAAGGTACTAGCGGGTAAATGGGTGGCTGCCTGGTTGCCTAAGGAGGAGCCAAGGGATAAGCCCTATGGCCGACACTACTCTCATTCTTTTTATACTAGCCATGATTTATACAAAATAAGGAGGAAAGAAAGGGAGAGGACTTCTCGGCCATGAGGTGCAGATCAGGATGTTTTGAAGTTCGACAATAATGGGGTAGAAGACGGCGGAGGAGAGGTCTGGACATGGCTTACCAGTGTTGTCTTTTGGTAAAAGCAGTAGATTTTTGAAGATAGAGGAAGGTGAGAGGAGAATAGGAGGGGTCCCTGTCATTCAACTTTTTGTGTTCATTTTGGATTGAATAGTGGTGTAGAAATAGAGAGAAGAAACTTTAACATAGGAGTCCATAATATACGTTTTAACAAAAGCAGTAGAGTTTAAGAATGTAAAGTAAGTAGGAGGAAAAGAGAGAAGAGGTCTTCGCCATGTTAAGTGTAGTTGTATGTTTAATATTCAAGGTACCTGTGTAGAAAAAGGCAGAAAGGAAGTCCGAACATTCCTTGTCAATATCATGGTTTGATGATAGCGGTAGATTTTAGGTAAATTTGTAATAGAGGAGAGGAGAGGTCTCAGTCATATCTGCTGTATGTGTGTTTTTAATCAAGTAGCTGTGATTTATAAGGTAGAGAAAAGGTCCAGATATTAGACTGTCTTTGCAAAAATTTTAATAGGAGCAATACATTTAGAGAAAAGAATGTAAGAGGAGGAGAGGAGACATCTCAGTCATCTGTTGCGTGTTATTTCTTTTGAACTAAGTGGCGGTAATGTTAAATGGATTTTTAGGACATTTCCAGACATGCAGTTTCAGGGCTGTAGTTTTGAAGATAGTAGGTTCATGTGGAAAGAAGGAGAGAGGGAGTGCTGGCCTCAGTAGTTTATAGTCGAGCTGGGACATTTCAATAAGAACGCAGAGGACCACTCCAAACATATGTTTCCATGCTGTCCTTTTTGGTAATAGCAGTAGCGGTATATGTGGAAAGAAGAAGAGGGCCACGTGTTAATGGCATTGCCATTTTCGAAGTGCGTGGGAATAAGGTGAGACTGCAGAGGAAGGAATCTGGACATGAGCTCTTAGAATTTGTCTTTTTATGATAGCAATAAGTTTTGAAACGAAAGAAGAAGGTAGAAGAGGGGAGGATTGGAGGTCTAAGATTGAGCTTTATATGTTTGAATTAGAGGGCAATGGAGTGAGAACATTCACGGAGGACATACTGCGCGCATTTGTCTGATTTCGTCCTCATCCGATATGATCACGTCTTGGATTACCCACAACGTGTTCGCAGTTCTCGCTGTCAAACAGAAATCCAGGGGCCCGCATAGTCTTAAATCCCGAATACTTGGTTCATTTCTGAGTCCACGTCGATAATCCGCTGACAGGTAGGTGCAGGCATCGACTGGTAGCCAGATCTGTCGGATTCCAACCGAAGACCAAGCATTCGCTTAGAGACGTGTCTGCCCTGCATTGACCTGGAACAATTGCTGTAACGCCGCTGAGCCGGATGGTGCCGAACCGGCTGTCCGGGGTTGGTGCTTTGGGGGAGGTACGCCTAAGATTCCCCAAGGTGCTGATCGGCGTACGCATGCCAAGTGCTGCTAGGCTACGCAGTTTCTGTCAAACATCGCGATTGACGTTCTTCCTGATCTCAAGTTTGGTCCATACTATCGGTCTACACAGAGTGCATGATCGAGCCGTGTTCAGTTACCTCCCGCCCGTTGTTCCGTGGCATTGGACAGTCTGACATTGACTCACTAGGATCAAAGTTACCCAACGCATCGCGGTTTCTTCACTGGACAAGGGATA